CCTTTTTATGTTCTTTTATGATATGAACAGCTATAGTTTTTTTTTTTTGTATTCAAGGGAGGCCTAGAATCTCCCCATCCTTGCCATTGCCAATATCAAGAGAACACTGTATTTTGAAAAACAAGAATTGTAGCTGTTTGTTGTTTTTTTCTTATATCATCATAATAGTAGCAGTAATCATTGTCCTTATAATAATAATAATTATTATATTGATAATGATGATGCCTTCTTGGCACATAGAATGTTTACTTTTTGGGTGACAATTTATTGAGGAATCTTGCTTCAGTTGTCTGCTATCAAAATATATACATTCCCTTGATCTCTATTGCTTTTGACACTTTGAATTAGTTTGTTTTACGGATGTTGCTATCAGCCACACCCATAGCCCCCTACTTTGTGGGGGAAGTGAGGCAATGTCTCATTGTTTTCTATTGTATTATGCTTATATTCCTTTATTGGAAGTTCTGACATCTATGGCTGAAATATTTTTGATAATAACTTGAAAGGGAAAAAGCCGGATGTTTTTTCTTCCTGATTTCTCAATAAATTTTTTATTTTTTTTTAATTTTATTAAACTGTTATTTTATTTTCTAATGTTCTTAAATTGGAGAAGTAGAATTTAGGATAATGCAAATGAGAACTGACTTAAGTTTGTTTATTTTTTTGCTTTATTCTTCATTTTTTTTCTTTGTTTCTTTGTTCAGTTTTCTTTTTATTTCAATTGTCTTTAAAATCTAAAGGAAAAAATACACATTAGTTATCTCCCTTGTCTCTTTCAGGCCTCCATTTTTATGAGTGCTTTTTACAGTCAGCTCTGTTATTGATTCCATTGGTTTTGAAGGTTTTTTTAAATTTTTTTTCCAGACCACACATTCATTCTTCTTTAGTAGAAAGAACACCTACCTACAGTGTTCTTTTTGTTGGTTGACCAAACTATTATTTAATTTTTTTTTTTTTTTTTTTAACATTGTTACTGTTTCTTACTTGCCTTACTGTTGTGTTAATAAAAGCTTTCCTTTTAATTTCCTTTGTTTAAATATCGTCCATTCACCTTTACTGCCCTTACTCATGGGGAGGGGGAAATTATAATCAGGGCTAAGCTTTTGCTTTGTTATTAAATTTAGCTCGCTCAGATATTTGGTGAGTAATGTCTTTGATTATTCCTCCCCTTTTTTTTTTTTTTTTTTTTTTAAAAATAGTTTCTACTGTAATATCAGTGGCTGAGCATATATTAGTTGCCATAGTAACCTTTGTACTCTTTAGGCCTTTGTTCTTATACATCACTGTCAGAATTCTATTTGCATATGCTAGCCGGCACATGCTGAAATGGACATCCTTGTTGAAAAAACTTTCTCTGAAGGCCCTCAAATGGATTCATACGACCTTGAGTTAACAGCCACAGTTTTTATTTATTGCTTTTTACATTTTAGCCTGATGCCATTGTTGACCATGTGCCAGGATAAAAGAGATAAGTTATAACCATTTAAACCATTAAACTGTGGGAAAAGATAAATATGTACACTGAATGGGTAAAAAAAATCCCCTCCCCCTTTTAAGGGTAGCTTTTGCTCTTATTTTTGCTTTAATTAAATGTAAATCTATAAAAATGATATTTTAACCTTGTCAGATTACAAAAATAAAACAAAAAGGGAGAGTAAACAAATATTGGATTCCTAAATTTAATATTTTTGAACAGTATAATACTGTAGTTTAAATGAGTCTCTATTACTACGACATCACTTGTAGAATTCAAGATACAGCTGGTTCAATTCGCCATTCTTGCTTTCTGCACACTTCACAATGTAAATCCGAGTTTTCTTCTGCCGTTTTCACTGCTTCAGCCCTCTTTTATCGGGCCAACACTGCGGTCGACCAACCAATCAGCGTTTTTTGCTTTTATTCTCAGTTACCCTTTTATTCTCAGTTACCTCCTCCAGTTCGACCAATTAGCACATGACTTGCTATTGGTGGAAGCATGCCAAACTGTACAAAAAAACACTCGTTACTGCACATACTGCTTGAATTGCTAGACGGGAGAGTAATGCCATTTTCACAGAGCAATCTTGCCGATGTCACATGCCGCTCGTTAAGGTAAGACCCTTATTTTCCTATGCACCAGATGCAAGCCACTCTGGCTCGCTTGCTTCTACGGGGCTGTTCACCACGGATACTTATTCAAGCATTTTTTTTTTTTTCACAATGGTGATGTGCATTATTTGAACCAAGTTGTTGCCATATTTTGCTTCTTTTCTCTGAGAAATGTGCATGCAGACATGCCACTGTTTTTGGCTAACTTCCCAGCTGTATTTGCAGACAAATACCCCAGACAAAGGAGCAGGTGAATGAGTTGGGTTACATTGTCATAATTCTTGCCATGATGAATTTGTTAAGGAGATGACTTCTTTATATTATCGGCCTGGATAGATGATCCCAGTGTGGGAGGAACCTGGAAAACCTTGGAAGAGTTGCTAGTGAAATATTATCGACAGGATTGTCTATATTTCTGAGATGAGGTATTATGTAAACTATTTACATTATTTGGACTATTGTCCTCATCGTTGTCGCCATATTTATTACAACGTTTTGGCAGTTGTACGCTCCGGCCTTCTTCAGGTAGTTTGAATGTTGAACTGAACTCTTTATTTCACTTGCTGGGATAGACTGTTCTAGTTCCACGTGACATGTTTAATGTATGTCAGTTATCAGTTATCTCCTGTTAATTCCCCTTTCCAAGTTCTCTACTACCTTAACTGGTCATTGAACTCACACTCTTTGGGTCTTGTCACTGGATATAACCAACACTTTTATCCACTGTGCCATGTGTCCTTGAAGAAGGCCGGAGTGTACAAGAGCCGAAATGTAATAAATATGGCGACAAAGATGAGGACAATAGACCGAATAATTTAAATAGTGTACATAATACCTCATCTCAGAAATATAGACAATTACTGAAGAAGACCAGAGCACAAAACTGCTCAAACATTGTGATAAATATGGTGACAAAGATGAGGACAATAGTCTGAATAATGTAAATAGTATGCACAAGACTGTTCGGGGTCTTTTGTTAGCCCAATGTGCCTTAGGATTTCATTGTTGTAGTTTCCGTCCTCTGTTAAGATGCTTCCCAGATACTTAAATGTTTGTATTTGTTACATTTTGGTATCTCCAATTTGTAATTTGCATGTCATGCTGTCCCTTATGCTATCAACCAAGAAAACTAAAAGGAAAATAAAACAAATATTAGGTTCCAGAATTTGTGTATTACTTGCACCAAGTTGTCACCAATTTTCACTTCTGTCTTGGGTAAGACGATAAACTACATCCGACAGCAAGGTTTTGATCGGAAGGTTTTAGGGTGCATGGAACCACCTCTTAATTGCAGGTGTTTCCAGGTCCACCCTGAGCCGGGGTGGTAGCACCTGTTAGGGTCACAGCTATGAGCAAATAGACCCCTGAACTGGGCTCAAAGTGCTAAGAAAGTTTAAAAATAGGTTTTATTACCAGCAATATATTTTTGTAAAAAATTATTTACCAGCAATGAATTTTTGAAGAAAAAAATTAATACCAGCAATACATTTTTGAAAGAAATATATTACCAGCAATATGTTTTTGAAGAGAAAAATGTATTACTAGCAATACGTTTTTGAAGAAAAAAATTGTATTACCAGCAATAAGTTTTTGGAAAAAACAAAAATATTAGCATTAATACATTTTTTGAAAAAAAAAAAATATTAACACTAATACATTTTTTGAAAAAAAAAATATTATCAGCAATAAAAATCTTGTCAGTATTAAATAACTCATTGAAGTTAATATGCCATAAAATAAACAAAACTAATTTTCACTTCTTTACTTGTTCTTATCTTTATTTGCAGGCAAATACTCCAGGAAGTCATGTAGCTTCATGAATTCTTGCAAATGCTAATCTGATGAGTTGTCAATTAGTCATTTAAACTGGAATGATGCCTGTATCGTTATAATAAGTTTAGATCATTGCTGATATGACCATAATATTCCATTATTGATCTGATCTGTCTTTTGTAAAGATAGAATGTAGCAGTGTGTGTTTCATTGGTTCCTTGTATTTCTCCAGAAAATACCATTCTTCCACCATCTTTTATGATGACCCCAATGTACACGTTCCATTTGAGGTAAGGAGTGAGCTTGATTCGGAGTAGTCGTTCCAGGCTGATCGCCAATGAAATATCAATTAATGATGTCTGCTGGGGTTAGGGTTAACGATTTCATTATGTTGAAATTATTTCATTGATCTTTTTCCTCTTTCAAGTTTTAATGGAACGTCTTTTTTGCCTTTTGCCAAAAAATGCAAATAAATTTTAATAAGGGATTTGATCAACCCCAATTCTCATTGAAATCTATCAATCAATTTTATCTTAGATTAAATCTTTATCCCCAAAAGAATGCTCTTCCCTGTTGAGTGGGGCTCCAATGAAGTCCCCCATTACAGCTTCTTGTAATCTTGTAGAGGCCGGTCACTACCTTGATATGTAACTGTTTGGGGATACCAAGTGCTGTATGTTTGGATGTGTGGGTGGTGTAATAGATAATGGCTTGGAATTGTTAATTGGAGAGCAGAGTTCCAGTTCCTGTTAGGTGCGTTATATTCACTTCTACACAAATACCTTTGGGAAAGATATGAATCCACCTCTTCTCCCCACAGCTATGGGTTAATTAATAAGATTGTATCACTAAACCATTATTACCTTCAACAAAAAAATAAAAATATTTTCTGACTTTAAATAACCTGGAAAGGGTTGATAAGCCATAAAAAATGAATCAATTCTAGTAATATGACTATGTTATCAAAGCAGTCTTTTGTTGTGATTTGGTTGGAATTTAATTTTTTTTTATCAACTTGTACTTCTGTGCATGTCTGCACACTTGTAGTAAACACTTGGTTGTAAAAATGTAGCTGATGTACTTTCATGAAGAGGAGAGTTAACTTAATTACCACGCAGAACAATTGTCACCAAAAGGAAATGAGTCCCTCTCTTTTTTCCTTTTTTTTCTTTTTATTTTCCTTTTTTTCTTTCTTTCTCCTTCTCTTTTCTTTCTTTCTTTCTCCTTCTCTATTTTCTTTCTTTCTTTCTCCTTCTCTATTTTCTTTCTTTCTTTCTCCTTCTCCTATTTTCTTTCTTTCTTTCTCCTTCTCCTATTTTCTTTCTTTCTTTCTCCTTCTCCTATTTTCTTTCTTTCTTTCTCCTTCTCCTATTTTCTTTCTTTCTTTCTTTCTCCTTCTCTTTTCTTTCTTTCTTTCTTTCTCCTTCTCTTTTCTTTCTTTCTTTCTCCTTCTCTTTTCTTTCTTTCTTTCTTTCTTTCTCCTTCTCTTTTCTTTCTTTCTTTCTTTCTTTCTCCTTCTCTTTTCTTTTTTTTTTTCTTTCTCCTTCTCTTTTCTTTCTTTCTTTCTTTCTCCTTTCTTTTCTTTTTTCTTTCTTTTCCTTCTCTTTCTTTCTTTCTTTTTTTTCCTTCTCTTTTTCTTTCTTTCTTTTCTTTTCTTCTCTTTTCTTTCTTTCTTTCTTTCTTTCTCCTTCTCTTTTCTTTTTCTTTCTTTCTTTCTCCTTCTCTTTTCTTTCTTTTCTTTCTTTCTTTTCTCTTTTCTTTTCTTTCTTTTTCTTTCTCTTTTTTTCTTTCTTTCTTTCTCCTTCTCTTTTCTTTCTTTCTTTCTTTCTCCTTCTCTTTTCTTTCTTTCTTTCTTTCTTTCTTTCTTTCTTTTCCTTCTCTTTTCTTTCTTTCTTTTCTTTCTTTCTTTCTCTTTTCTTTCTTTCTTTCTTTCTTTTTTTTCTCTTTCTTTTCTTTCTTTCTTTCTCTTTTCTCTTTTCTTTCTTTCTCTTTCTTTTCTTTTCTTTCTTTCTTTTTCTCCTTCTCTTTTCTTTCTTTTCTTTCTTTCTTTCTCCTTTCTTTTCTTTCTTTCTTTCTTTCTTTCTCTTTTCTTTCTTTCTCTCTCCTTCTCTTTTCTTTCTTTCTTTCTCCTTCTCTTTTCTTTCTTTCTTTCTCCTTCTCTTTTCTTTCTTTCTTTCTTTCTCCTTCTCTTTTCTTTCTTTCTTTCTTTCTCCTTCTCTTTTCTTTCTTTCTTTCTCCTTCTCTTTTCTTTCTTTCTTTCTTTCTTTCTCCTTTCTTTTCTTTCTTTCTTTCTCCTTCTCTTTTCTTTTTTCTTTCTTTTTTCTTTCTCTTTCTTTCTTTCTTTCTCCTTCTCTTTTTTTCTTTCTTTCTCTTTCTCTTTTCTCTTTTCTTTCTCCTTTTCTTTTCTTCTTCTTTTTTCTTTCTCCTTCTCTTTTCTTTCTCCTTTCTTTTCCTTTCTTTTCTTTGATTTCTCTTTCTCTTTCTTTCTTTTCTTTTCTTTCTCTTTCTCTTTCTTTCTCCTTCTCTTTTCTTTCTCCTTCTCTTTTCTTTTCTTTTCTTTTCTTTCTTTCTTTTTCTTTCTTCCTTTCTTTCTTTCTCCTTCTCCTTCATCCTTTCTTTTTCATTCTTTTTCTTTCTTCCTTTCTTTCTTTCTCCTTCTTCTTTCTTTCTTTCTTTCTTTCTTTCTTTCTCCCTCTCTTTTCTTTCTTTCTTTCTTTCTTTCTCTCTTTCTTTCTCCTTCTCTTTTCTTTCTCCTTCTCTTTTCTTTCTCCTTCTCTTTTCTTTCTCCTTCTCTTTTCTTTCTCTCTTTCTTTCTCCTTCTCTTTTCTTTCTCTCTTTCTTTCTCCTTCTCTTTTCTTTCTCTCTTATTTCCTTTTCTCTCTTTTAAAGTATTATTTTCTATCATGTACTTTTGTTATCGAATATTATTTGGATGCCCTTTGTATAATGCCCTTTGTATAATGCCTTTGTATAATGCCTTTGTATAATGCCCTTTGTATAATTGCTCTTGTTGACATGTAAAAATATCCATTCTTCATCCGTGAGAACAAAGGAAACCTCTTTCCTCCAGAAACAACTAAAATTGTTCATTAATGAACCCACCAAACTAGTCCATATCTATTGCATCAAATTACACCAACGGGTGGTAATGGGTGAGTTCCCCAATATCGACTTTGCTAAGCAATGAAAACCCACATAATATTGAAAATATTTACTGGTTCAACTTAAGCACCTCACCAACAATCATCTCTGCTTCATATTCTTTTTCTTGTCAATTTTCTTCACTTCTGTCCCAGAGATGCTAATGTGTATCCACTGTCTCTGCTGATACTGTCTCTCATATGAAACTTTTTTCCCCCACCTCACATTTGATTATAGCTTTTGTAATATTGGATATTCTAATGATTTTTTTTTTCTCAGAGTTCTACATAATTTAGTTTTTATTTGATTAAGAAGTCAGAATGTACAGTTATCAGCAAAATAAGCAGCTCCAGATGCAAGTTACGAATTGTAGATGTCAAAGCTAAACCAGTACAGAAATTTAACTATTTCAGAAGTGGTGCAACAGATGATGGAAAATGTGGCACTGAAATCTGAAGGTGAATTGGAATAGCAAAATATGCTTTCTAAAAACTAAACAAAGTATAAAGAAACAGGAAAATTTCATTAGAAACAAAAGTGTTGAACTGCTATGTAATAATTCTCTTATGAAGCAGTGAATACTAAAGAGACTTGAGATAACAGATGTGGTTCCTGAGAATATCATGGACAGAACATGTGAGCAACGAGGAAGTTTTAAGAAAAAAGGAAATTAAAAAGGACAAATAGAAGAATACTAGTTGAAATTTTTGGGACACAATGAGAAAAGAGGGTTTAGAAAATTTGACTCTCACAGGATATATTGTAGGATGGGCAGAGGGAAATCTTGTCTAATCTGCCTAACAAGCTTATGTAGGACTAGCTTAAAAACTGTACTATCAGGCAGCATTTAAGCTAGCTCCTATAGAGGACTCTTGGTTTGGCCATCATCACAATAGGGGGGGGAGTAGATGCAATAGGCAATAGAATTCAAAATTGATCACTGCATTTAAGTATTGAATTAATGTTAAAGCTTACATTTAAAAAGTTCAATGGTAATTCTTCTGCTGTCACTTAATTTAAAGACAATTTGATATACGTAGATCCTTATTTTCCATACAAACAATTATTTTTATTTCATGGGTGACAGAATAGGAGACAATTTATAAGATAAAATTAATATAGTGTAAAGATGGAAAAATAGAAATTAGAATTAGTTATACATTCAGCGAGTTAATTAATTAAAACCTATATTATGGAATATATATATATATATATATATATATATATATATATATTATTTTAACCTCTGATAATCTGGCAACCCTGAGCTCAACAAAAATTGTTCCTTGTGCCTAACTTTTCTAGGGCTTTTGAATCATTGAAATCGGGCCAGTGGGAGTGGATGAGTTGCTTGGACACACACACACAGTGTACTTTATATATAAGATGGTAGAACAAGGGGTGAGAGAGTATAAAGCTAAATATTACTAAGAGCTACAAAAGGTAGGAAGTTGTGGAGAGCTATGATCGCTCTCATCCTGAAAGGATATAGCACATAATCAGTGCTCTGGTGATGGTAGCCAAGAAACTATTGTTTAGTGTTTTTGTTCCAAAATTAAACTTTTAGATAAATACGATACGGTAACCCTTAATAAAGAAAGAGACCTGACAGTAAGCGGCTGGAAAAGAGAAGGTTTGGTGAATAGAGTCAAGTGACAAGAACGAGCAATAGCAGAATGAGAGTAGTTGACACACCCATAAATTTAAATAAAGTGTTCAGTTTAAAATTCCATGAATGTGACAAGCAGCTGATGAAGGCTAGAAAGCACAATGGCTGAAATGTTAGGATAATAACAACAACAAAGATGAGGACAATAGTCTGATTGTAATTAATGTAAATAAACTTATAAAATATAAATGTTTTATTGATATCTTGAAATTAATTTCTGCAGCCATAGTGTTTAACATCTCCATTTTTAAATCCTGTCATTTTTTACTTTTTTTTTTTTTTTTTTTAATAATATGATGGATTTAATCTGTCAATGTTGGTGTTTATTGGTGATGGGGGCTGTCCTGTCCTCATGGATATTGAAGGATGATTGTATAAAACATGTTAGGAGGACTCACGTTTTGTGTGTGTGTGATTTTGATGAAGTATCTTATCTGCCTCTTTCAAATGGTCAAATTAATCCTTTCTCTTTCTCTTTTCCCTTTCTTTTCTTTCTTTCTTTCTCTTTCTCTTTTCCTTTCTTTCTTTCTTTCTCTTTCTCTTTTCCTTTCTTTCTCTTTTCCTTTCTTTCTCTTTTCCTTTCTTTCTCTTTTCCTTTCTTTCTCTTTTCCTTTCTTTCTCTTTTCCTTTCTTTCTCTTTTCCTTTCTTTCTCTTTTCCTTTCTTTCTCTTTTCCTTTCTTTCTCTTTTCCTTTCTCTTTCTTTTCCTTTCTTTTTCTTTTCCTCCTTTCTTTCCTCTTTCTCTTTTCCTTTCTTTCTCTTTTCCTTTCTTTCTCTTTTCCTTTCTCTTTTCCTTTCTCTTTTCCTTTCTCTTTTTCTTTTTTTCTCTTTTCCTTTCTCTTTTTCTTTTTTTCTCTTTTCCTTTCTCTTTTTCTTCTTTTCTCTTTTCTTTCTCTTTTTCTTTTTTTCTCTTTTCTTTCTCTTTTTCTTTTTTCTCTTTTTCTCTTTTTTTTTCTCTTTTCTTTCTCTTTTTCTTTTTTCTCTTTTCTTTCTCTTTTTCTTTTTCTTTTTTTTTCTTTTTTCTTTTTTCTTTTTTCTTTTCTCTTTTCTTTCTCTTTTTCTTTTTTTTCTTTTTTCTGTTTCTCTTCTTTTTATATTTTTCTCTTTTTTCTTTTCTTTTCTTTTTTTTTCTTTCTCTTTCTTTCTCTTTTCTTTTTTTTCACTCTTTCTTTCTCTTTTCTTTTTTTTCTCTTTCTTTCTCTTTTTTTTTTCTCTTTTCTTTCTCTTTTTCTTTTTTCTCTTTTCTTTCTCTTTTTCTTTTTTCTCTTTTCTTTCTCTTTTTTTTTTCTCTTTTCTTTCTCTTTTCTTTTCTCTTTTCTTTCTCTTTTTTCTTTTCTCTTTTCTTTCTCTTTTTTCTTTTCTCTTTTCTTTTCTCTTTTCTTTTTTTCTCTTTTTCTTTTTTTTCTTTCTCTTTTTTTTTCTTTCTTTCTCTTTTTCTTTTTTTTTCTTTTTCTTTTTTCTTTTTCTCTTTTCTTTTTTCTCTTTTCTTTCTCTTTTCTTTTTTCTCTTTCTTTTCTCTTTTCTTTTTCTCTTTCTTTCTTTCTTTTTCTCTTTTCTTTTCTCTTTTCTTTCTCTTTTCTTTCTCTTTTCTTTTCTTTTCTCTTTTCTTTCTCTTTTCTCTCTTTTCTTTTTCTTTTTTTCTTTTTTTTTTCTCTTTTCTTTCTCTTTTCTTTTTTCTCTTTTCTTTCTCTTTTTCTCTTTTCTCTTTTCTTTCTCTTTTCTTCCCTTTTTTTTCAAATGGTTAAATTAATCTTTAGTTTTTTTATTTTTAAGATGTGGTTAGCTTGTGATGCTAAAAGGTTATTCAAGATATATATGTATAAACTAGTTTTCAGATGCTGCTAAGAGCTACAAAGGTGTGGAAGTTGTGGAAAGCCATAACCACCCACTTCATTAAGGGACATAGTACATAGGAGAAAAATATATATACAGCCGCTTCTTACCAAATAAGGCTATCACTGAATGCACGTGCATGCCTTTGTACATGGTTTGACACATGAAAGGCTTTTGGAAAGTTTTGAAAATGACTTTCTCTTCATGCACTCACATGTGTCACTTCAGCTTGCTCTCAGATCTTCACAAAACTGACATAAATAACCTGAAGGTTTGTCTGGAAGGACATCTACCTGGAAAGGCACTGGACAAGATGTAATAACCTTCCTGCAAATGTTACGTTCTCAAACTGAATATCTTCTGGGATTGAGTTGTTGTTTATTTTATTTAAATCTTTTCACACCACAAGCAAGAGTGAAAATGATGATGAAGAGACTTAGAAGACTTTTAGACATTAGTGAGTCAAAAGGACAATAAAATAACAGTATTCATGAAAACCAAAGATGACAATTAACATTACATTTGAATTTGGAATATTAACTTATTATCAATTCCTTGAATAATAAGATCCTTATATTTGAGTTGTTGTCAGATGGAAGACACATGCCAAGTACTTTTGACAATTTCAAATTGTCATCTTCAGGGTGCAATCTTCTTATATATAAGCAAATACTAAGATGAAATATGTGTAGACAGATGTTTCTTTTTAAATCCTACTATTTATTGACAGTTGAATATGTTTTAGAGCATGCAACGTCACAACGCTAGAGTTCTGGTTCAAGTCGATCAAGTGAGAATTTTGTTTGAATTTTGAAAATGCTAGAAATCCTTGAAATTTTCTTGTTATATACTGTTACCTGTTGTCTGTTATATGTTGTTATATGTTAATGTGATTAATGGCAAAATCACATTAACATTGCCATTTAATTATATCTATACTATATATTGGTTTTATGTTAGTTTTCATGTAGGTTTGGTATGTATTATTAACTAATCAACCCTACATAAAAACAAACCAAATTCTAATCCCCCTTCATCCATAGAATATAGAATTAGCAATAACTCTTCCAGTGAAGATGTCTTTTACAAACAGTAAATTTTATAACACTGCCTTAAAAAATAGTGGCTATAAGTGCCCTGACATCAAATATATTAAACAGTGATAGTAATAATAAAAATAGAAACAGAAAAATCATTTGGTGCACACCCCTACTTAACCAAATGGTTAGTACTAAGTTAGGGAAGAAGTTTCTTAATTTAATTGAGAAACACTTCCTCAGAAATAATCCACTTCAATTTTTAATGGAATTACACTTAAATTCAGTTATAGCTGTACAGATAATCT